GATGCATGGGGCAATAAGAAGTCCAGACTGACCCAATGGTCTTGCAAGACCCCTCTGACCTCCATTTGTTGTTTTTGTTGTTGTTGTTGTGGTTGCCTTTTTACAGAAGGCATACATTAGAATCTAATCCAGGCTTCTCTAAAATCCTAGATGGGCAAAACTTGCAGAAGTTGAACTTGCTTTATCTCAAACTAGATTTCTCTAACTGTCTATATTAGACCAATTTTAGACTAGAAATCTAAATATTAATTCACTTACTTTGCATTCCAAAGAGTCACCCAAAGCTTTATTCAATTTAATATCATTGTGCATTGTTCAGCAATTCAGCAAATATGTAAAAAAATAAAAAGCAATTTTTAGAGCATTTGCTGCAGGAAAAATTATTAACTCCTTTGCCAAACACATGAGAATCTACAAAGTAGAATTTAGCTAAGGACATGTATGTAGAGAACTGCTCAGCAATTTTTTTCATAAATTTATTGTGTGTTGATAACACAATTCAATCAACATTTAACTTTTATGTTAATCAAATATAAGCATACACATTATTCACATTCAGTCATTGGGGAATTTGAATTATTAAGTAGAGTAAGAGAGTGGGTGATGAAAAAGTATACAGTGTTCCTAATACCTGGCAATACTAGGTGAGTTCTATATGCAAGGTACAAAGAGCTATGGATGTTTAAAGGATGGAGGAATCATGTAGTATGTCATCTAAAGGGTGGAAGTGATTATAAAATATAGAAAAGTTTTAAGAAAGAAATACATTTAGAATGGTCCTTGAGGAAGAAATACACAATACACTAAATATGAAATTGAAAAAGAAAAATTACTAGGAATAAATATAATAGCAAGAGAAACTATAGCCCATTTTGAGGACCAGCAAGTTTTCCAGTTTGGCTGGATGGTGGAGTATGGAAAAAGAAGAAGAAAAAAAAGAAGTCTAATGAAGTGTTAATAATACAGAGTCAAATTCATTAGGGACTTAGACTTTTTTCCTAATTTGGTGGTTTTCTTTAAAAAAAAAAAATTCAAAAATTGGGTTGTGCCCCCTGAGAAATGATCTTCAGAATAACCTGGCAGAAGAGAATAGATTAGAAGAAATTACAGGAGGAATCCTAAAGCTCAGAGACCAGATAAACTGCTGTTCAATTTTTAAGGTATGATTTCAGAAGAACTGGAAGAGAAGCTGTAGCCATAGATGGGGGTGAGGTGAAAAAGATGTCAGATACATAAATAAGAGGCACTTCAAAGGTAATAGCTAAATTTTTAGAAAAATCTCTTCAGAGATTTTGTATCTAAAAGGATAGGAGAAGTATGGGATAGATAATGGGATCACTGTGATATGGTGTTCTATTTGTATATTAATAGTGAACATTAGAACACTGAGACAGAAGGACTAGGAAGTAATCAACAGAAAAGTGACAGATAAACCCAGGGAAGTAGATGACACCTCTAATGAAAGAAGAGGAGCAAGGATAGAATCCCAGATGGGATAGGAAGAGAATCATAGAGGAAGGCAAAAGAGGAATTTCCAAAGTGTTCTGAGAATACATGCATTGCATCATGTCCAGGAAACCAATAGTGATTTAAGATGAGGTCATTCCAGTTAGCAACTAGGAAATTAGTGATGGCCGTTGAAAGAGTAGCCTGGTTGTATTTATTTTTTATTTTTAGATTGGGAAAATATAATTTATTTAGAAAGTAAATCAGAGAGCTAGAGGAAGGATATTCACCTCCCCAAGGTAGGGGAAGGGGCCAAAGCTAAGAAAACATGGTGACCATAGCTCAAAGAGCCATGAGAAGACACCAGAGTTTAACAAAGCAATGGCTTGCTGGTTATATTTATAACACCGAACGCAAAGAACAAACTGAATGAGGAGTAGATGGTAGGACATTAAATTTGGTCAATTTAGACTATCTTTCTAATAATTTTAGTAGAAGAAGAAAAGAGAAAAAGAGCATGGTAAACTGAGGTCCAAAGCAACTTGTATTTCCTCCATATTTGAAAGTTTTGATCTATGATTCCCCAGGGGAAATAGCTTAAATTGTAGTTTCACTTTATCTACTCACATATTGACTAACAAAGTACACTCTGAAGAGTTTGTGAAATAGAAGGGGTCATTAGCCTTGGCTCTAATGAGAAATTATAGTATTTTTGCTGTAATGATAAGCTGGTATGTGAATATAGCTTATGAAAAAGCCATCAGATAGCAGCTTCCACTGTTCATCATCTTATATTTGGGGCTATTTTCTTCACAGAAAATACTATTTGGCTGTGAATCTATCATCATTAAGAGAGGAATAATGGTTTGTAACAGAATGCATATTATCCTTCTGAAAAAAATGATAATTGCTCCAGCTTAACTTTTTATGTCCTGGCTTTAATTTCTTCCTACATCCTTCTGTTTCTTGACAATTATGCTATTTTCTTTTTCTTAATTTTTATTTTAAAGATGTGGGGTTCAATTCAGGGTTAGATATACTTTTTTTCTACTGGCCAGTTACTAGCAACTTTCTACCTTATGGAAATAGAGTATTTTGTGTGATAAGGTATTCCACGTCACCATCCAACACTTAGAAGACCTGCAGTTGCGAAAACAACTTAGCTGGCAAACTTCCTAGTAGGTTTTGTTTCTCAGCAGCACATATCCAAATATTGTTTAGCTAGCATCTGTATTTTTTGCATAAATGGAGGCAGACCTGAGCACAATTGCATGCAAGTATTCTATTCCTAGCTCTGAAACAATTACCCACTCATCAGTCCCACGTAGGACTATTCATACTTTCCAAAGCCTCCTGGACTCTGTTACATTTGTCAGACTTGATATCTCTCCCTCTGGGTTGCAACTTTTTCTGTTAAGGGCCAGAGAGTAAAGATTTTAGGCTTATCAGGTTATATGGTCTCTGTTACAACTATTTAACTCTACTTTTGTAGTGCAAAAGCAACCATAAACAATGGTCAACTGTGTGGCTTTATTCCAATAAAGTTTTATTTACCAAAACAGGCAGCAGGCTAGATTTGCCTTATTGACTGTCGTTTATCAATCCCAATTCAGCAAAAGAGCTGGTGAGTGAGATATGTCATTCAGTCATCCATGAGAATCCAAATGGGGAACCCAAACACATTGTTGAAAAGATGCTAGATTCTTGATGCCAGGTCAATTATAGTGTTTGAATAACAGACATTTTCATTCCATCTCAAGAATTTCCTCATATTTCCACTAATTCTCTCTACCTGTGTCTTTCCAGCACCACGGCATACAACCTTCTTACTTCTCTGTTTTCCTTACAGCCCACATTACTTAAAATCCCTATGAAAGCTCATCCTATTGGTTCCTGGCTTTGCATCTCTCTAGGTCGTGACTTCTAGAATTTGCCTTTAGCACGAAACACCTTGTACTCAGGAAAATTATATTTTATTGTAAAGCCTCAAAGAACAGCAAGAGAAAAAAGGGTACATATCTAAATGACATATTTTCTTTCCCAGATTCCTTCCTATAAGAAATACAAGATTTATTCTCCCATTTATCTTCTCAGGTACTCAAAAGTGAAGCTGCTATTCCAGCCCCAAAGTAACTTCAACACTGGTCTGCAGTGTACAACTCTACTTTCCTCTTTAGCCTAAAATTTCAGTCTTTAAAGTTTCAATACATTATAGAAGAAACAAAAAAGACTGTAAACTGTACAAACTTACACAGGCCTTGGTAAAGTTACTCTCATGCATGTTAAGTATGTGGTGCTTTTTAGCTGTGCTTCAAAGAAAATTTAGACTGGCTAAGATTATTTCCCACCACATGGCAAGAATTTAAGTTGTTTGAAGAATATTTGTTTTAGCTATTTTTCATATTTAAGATATAATAATTTTTTTTTTTTTTTCCTGAGTTGCAGACTTACTCTGTCGCCCAGACTGGAGTGCAGTGGCCGCTCCTGGCCACCGCAGCCTCGACCTGCCGGGCTCTGGCGATCCTTCCGCCTCAGCCTTCCGAGTAGCTGGAATTACAGGCGCGCACTACCACGCCCAGCTGATTTTTGATTTATTGTAGAGATGAGGTCTCCCCAAGTTGCCCAGGCGGGTCTCGAACCAGTGGACTCAGGCAATTCACTCACCTCAGTCTCCCAAGGCGCGGGATTACAGGCTGAGCCACCGAGCCCGGCTAGATATAATAAATATTTGTTAAAGAATTTTTTCACTGCTTTGAAAAAGTTTGAAAAACACTTATTTTTTAAAATGAGGAAACAAAGTTCCAACAAATAAAATAACTTATTAAAGATCACATAGCTGGTTAGTGCAGAATCCAGTTTAGAATCCAGAATCCAGTCTCTACATTCTCAATCCTTATTGCGCTTCCTAGTACATTATTTTGTTCTGCCTCACCTTAGTAGGCTTTCCATATAAGTCAGTTTTAAGCTGTATTGTGATCCTTTCAGAGAAGCATAATTTTCATTAGCTATAAAGAGCCCATTTGACCATGACTGTTTTAAACTTTTCCAAACAAAATTTTCTATTTGGTTTTGCTGGCATTCAGAAGCATTTCTTTCTATAATAAAATTGTGTCCAACAATTTTACAAAATTAATTTCTGTAGATTCTTTTAAATTTTCTACATATACCATCATATGGTCTACAAATCTTTCTCAATAAATATGATTTATTTTTTTCAAAAATATTTTATTTATTCATTCTAATGCTTGTTTGTAGATTTTTTCAAATTTTCCACAACACAATCATATTATCTACAAATAATGTTTCCTAAATATTTCTCAATAAATAAATAATTTATTTCAGAAATATCATCAGAAAAAATAAGAACCTATACATATTTTCTAAGGAAGAAGGCAATTTTAAGCTATCAGTTCAGAGTTTTTAAAAATGGAATCAGATTTCTCTGAAATAGCAATAGTGATTACAATAGCTCTTGAATGGGAAAAATCACTGAAAACTCAGGCCTCTGTTTGATATCTAGCACTTAGAGTTTCAGGGTTACTGCTGGTTTGAGTAATCATTTACAAAGTTCAAGTTTTCACAGAATATTTATTGTGACAACACTCCAGGTGTTGCTAGGTCTCTGGGATATCACAGCATTACCTTGTATTAGCTAGCAAAAGAGAGAGAAGCTTTGTTTGGATTAGCACATAAACCCTCTCCATCCTGCGTACCTATTGTTTTCTCAGTAATTTGCAGTTTGGGTTCCTGGATATCACAAACTCTGCTTACAGGTGAGTGACATAATGATTTCATTTTCAATCTTAATATTTCAAAATTTTAGATTGTTTCCAACAAAATTATTCTTTCAAGCATTAAAAAACATAATCTAGACTATCATCATTTTTTTGTCTTTTTTAAAAATAAGAAATAACCACTTTGCTTAAATCTCAAAAGAACTAGAGGTTCATGCTTTTAAACAAATGTCATTCCAGAGGACATTTGAGATCAAGTTTCTTTATGAGATGAAGTTTAAAACAGTTAAAAGTAAAGCAAACATACTCTTTAGCCGAGGTCATGTGCCTGGTCTCCCAGCCTGCCTTGGCAGTGGTAAATATCATTTTTTTGAGCCTCTGGGCCATATACAGAAGGAAAAACTAACAAACAAACAAAAAAATCCAAGAAATTCAAAAGATCTACAAGGAGATAGGAAAGAAGAACCTACCCTTGAGAAAACATTGGAGCAGTCCCTGAAATCTGTTGGGTAAGATATGTAGACAGCTTTGTGGACAATTCATTCATGTGAGTAAAGTATATCAGAAGGTGACAGGTTAGAATAAGATGGTCTTCATTTAACTAGAATTCTCCAAATGCTCACAAAGCCATAATCAATGGGTCAATGAGGTCATTAATTTTTAGAAAGTTCAAGAGGGAATGGCAATTATCAGAAAACTGCAGAATTGTTGTTCTATGATCCCGAACTGGAAGATCTTTCCCAACCATTGTCCTCTATTCACTGAATTTTTTTATTCCATTTTTGTAGGAAAATTGTATTGTATTGAGTAAAATGCCTGCATGCAATTTTAGATACCTCTAAAATGCCTAGAGATGTTTAAAATTAATAAATAAGGAATCATATGATATTGTATGCTGGGCCATCATCACAAAAAAGCCCAGAGAAATAATTATATTTATTTGAATTAAAATTATTGTTTTAACATAAGACAATTTTTCTTCCACAATAAAATATTATAAGAAGAAAAGTGACCAATTAACTTTTTCTTTCTTTAATACCTCATCAAATAATTTTTGACATTATTATCTTAACTTATAGTGTTTTTCAAATTGCCTTAGAACAGTTTTAGCCAAAAAAAAGCTCAAAATATTTTGTAAGAATTCTGTGCTTACAGTTTTTAATGATAATTAAAATAAAATCACTCTATGCTTTTTAAATTTTTGGAAATTAACACCGATAGTGTCTGTTGAGGACCTAGAACAAGTACTCTCTTGCAATTTTACTTCTCCTAATCATTTACATGGTGATTCCATAAGATGCTTTAAGAATTTGTTTTCTCCAAAAATGAGCGAAATATTCTGGAAGACCTCTGTCTCTTCTAATACCTAACGAGGAAAAAAAAATACATAAATAGCAATAAAACATCTGTTTAGATTTTCTTGCTGAAAGACCTTTGTTTGAGTAGATCCCAGATTTTGCCAGTGGTACGCAGGGGTAAAGATGTAGGGAGTGTGTGATCTTTCCAGTCTGTCTAGTGCTTGACAAGGAAGCTTCATATTATTAGAAGCCTCAGCTCCCAAGGACTGAAACCAGTGAAAAGTCACCCTATCTGGAACTCAGGTCAGAGGTTTACAACTCACACCATTCTGTCTGATGACAACATAAATTCTATCTGGCCATATTTGTCCCCATGTCCTATAGTTCTGTGTTTCTGAGGAAAACCAAGAAAGGTGAGCTACCAGGAAATTAGAATCAGTAGGCAAGTGGAGTGATCTTTCAAAGACACTTTCGTTTTATGATTGAGATAGTTTAGGGCTATAGCACCATATCTATAAGTTAGATTTTTAAAAGCTTGGGTAAAAAGCATGGATAATATTTTTATTTATGTCTGCCCTCCCAGAGAGTGATAAAGGCTTCTATTTCTTTGTGTCTCACTCAATGCCTAGCAGCAAATATGTGACAATTTCATTTTAAATTGCAGAACATATTCAGCCATTTGTCAATATATTTGGTTGTTTTTACTTTAGCATTTTTTCTTTGAGGTTGTAGAAGAATTTTTAAATCTTACTGATTTATGAGTATATTGAAGAAACAATTCTTATATCTAATCTTGAGCTCTTGGCTTAAAACAAGATACAGCAAATGATGAACCTCATTTATTTTTACTGAAATATCTTTTCATCACAACTAAAAAACATAAACTAATTACATTAAATATAATCAAGGACTCATTCTCTGAGACACTTGAGAGAGCCATAGTTCATCAGAGCAATTTGGCAATATTTATCAAAAATTTATGGCCAACAACCACTATTATACTTGTAACACTCATAAAAGTTACTACTAATTTGAAAAGTTAATACTTATTGAGTGATGATTTTATGCCAATGATTATTCTAAGCATTTTACACAAAACTTCTTACTGAATCCTAACGAAATTTTATGAGAAAAGTAAAAATACTAATCTTATTTTATCTATAACGGAGACACAGAAAAGTTATAATACCACTTTGCCTCTTAAAAGTTACCATATTAACTACAGCAGCATTGTTTATATATACATATATTAATTGTGTTGCATGTTTTATTGGAGATACAAAGATTAAATTGGCACTATCAGGAGACAGATACTTTTTCAAATGACTCATGTATCTTCAAAGGCTCCATAGCACACAGGTGAGAACCACTAATCAAAGTTGTTGCTAGCCACCCTTCTGTGGCCTGACTGGTAGAGCTTCAGGCATTTTGATGCTCCAGTAACACAGGAATTGGTGTGGTTAGAAACTCAAGGAAGGTTTGCACCTAGTTCAAGAACCAGAAATTCTGAGCCCTTCCTTGTCAGGCAGCCTCAACACTAATGCCCCTCCTTGAGACTCATTTTTATCTCCATAAAGTTAAGATATTTCACCCAGAGTTTCCAAAGATCCATTCCAGCTCTAACTTCTATGACTCTATATGTAGAGATAGCTGGACAGTGAATTCTCTCTTTAGCAGATTTCCAGGATTTTAGGGAATAAAATAGAGCTTCCAAAAAAGTATCCAAACTTCTTCCTCTGTCCCAGAAAAGTATAAAAAACTGAAATGTACTCGAGGGTAGTGCTTACACAGAAGAAACAGTTGTTTTCAGAAGTATAAGATTATATAAGTCTCAAATACTTTTTGGAATGAAATGGGTTACAGGTACATACTACATATTTTGTCTTGAAGCCCATCACTAACAGTTCAAAGAAACTTACTAGTACTTGGAGTTGTAACTATGTTAATCTCCACTCTAAAAATCTTTAATAGAATTTGTACTCATAAGCACATGAATGTGTAGGTGTTGACTTGCATCAAGGATGCAGAGAAAGGGAGATGTTTTCTAAAATCACACTCAAATCTATAACTCAGGATGACTTATAACGTTTTACCCCCAGCAAGCATTTGAGATGTATTAAATCATTCTGTTTTAGTGCCTGAAGGTTCTCAAACCATGGCCAGACACTTCATCTTGTGCTTCATCCTGCTAAGTACTCTGATTGACAAGGGCCAAGGCTGCTTCTGTGATCACTACCCATGGACTCAGTGGTCCAGCTGCTCAAAAACCTGCAATTCTGGAACCCAGAGCAGACAGAGGTGGGTGTGAGCTAAGTAACTTTTCTTTGTGCTTTGGATGACCTCAAAGATGAAGTCAGCAATATCAGAAGTGCCACACTAAACAATGGGAAAAAAAATTCAAAGTTAAGAACTCATGAATCTGAATAGAATTTGAAGTCTTTTACATATGAGGTTGAAGTCTACTTTTGTTCTCTCTATAAAAACAGGAGAGGGGTGTCAAAGAAAATTAATTAAGAATCTGTACTACGCTTTCATTTGAACATTTAACTTACTTAGAATCACTACTCAACTTTTTTCAATAAGCATATAACTCTACTTGCCTACAGTTATTGAGTTAATTATAGAGAATTCTCTATTCATTAAACCGAGTCTAACAGGACCTCAGTTGAGCAGAACTGCTAGCGATTAGCTTGATTGTTTGCATATACAAGATGGCAACAAAACTGTGTTTACTTGATAACATTTAATAATTTAGTCCTTTCACCAATTCAGACTACTCGTTCTCCACAGTTTCTTTAAATCTGCTAGATGTTTCTGTACCATGGAGATGCTTACATGACTTAAGGGAGAAAATTCTATATCTAATGTGTTTTAACTATTATAGCACATTTTATAGCTTACTTTAGAAAACTATTTTTACATATGTGGTGTGAATCTTATTAAGATCACCAATTGACTTCCCCATTAATCCATCTAAGTTTGTGAAAAGATTTGTTTATAATATTCTTCTACTCAAAAGTACTTCAGCAGCTATCCACTGTCTACAAATAAAGCAGTCATATTTCTAACCAGTCACACAAGCTCCTCCCTGCAGAGCTCCCTGGATACACTCTCATCCACCTCAAAAGTACATGTCCTTCTCTCTGTTGTCTGGAGAATTCATATGCATTTTTCTTTAAAAAAAATTTTTTTTTATTCTAAAGATGTGGGGTACAATTCAGGATTAGGTATAAAAGTAGTCACTGTACAGGTAGAGTTTTGGCCTCCCTTTGGTCCCCACTTTCTTGGTTCAAGATCAGGTACCCTTATTAATGTTATGTGCCCCCTCTCTCACCACCCAGTAGTGTCCTGCTACTGCCAGTTTCTTTCTTACAGTCTTATGGTAAATGTTCAGGGTCCGCTTATGAGTGAGAACATGTGGTGCTCAGTTCTTTGTTTCTGTGATAGATCACTGAATATTATAGACTCTAAATTCATCCAAGTTGCTACAAAGTCCATATGTTTGTTCTTTTTTATGGCTGTGTAATATTTCATTGTGTATTTGTACTACATTTTTCAAGATGTTTATGTCATGTTACTTTCTCTTTGAATCTTTGACCCCACAGCAGCCTCACCCTATCTCAGTCATTATACTTAACACATTGTGTTGTCATCTTTTAAACAATATGCAGGAACTTTCTTCCTCTCTTCTTTCTTTCATTAAATTCCAGTCCATTTCAGAAGATCTAACGGGGCTGACTTCATGGTGTAACCTGTGCAGTCACACAGACGTTCACCCTTAGAAGGGCTTCATGCTTGACTTAATGATCTGCCATTGCTGCCCTGAAATTTTTAATTTTGAACAAAATGTTTCTCATTTTCATTTAGCACTGGACCCCACAATATATGTCCTGAGTTCCACTAAGTGGTAAGAACTGCATATATGGCAACCTCCCTGATTTTTCATGAAAACTTTCTTTTTTATTCACTCTAGTTAATGCTCAATTACATTTTTCTTATGGGGCATGATCCTCAGTGAATACATTCATTTTAAACAATTTTTTCCTCACTATTACAGACAAATAGTAGTAGATAAGTACTATGAGGAAAACTTTTGTGATCAAATTTGCACCAAGCAGGAGACCAGAGAATGTAACTGGCAAACATGTCCTATCAACTGCCTCCTGGGAGATTACGGACCGTGGTCAGACTGTGATCCTTGTGTTGAAAAACAGGTGGGTGACCATGGGTATTTCCAGGAAATCTGAATCATGATAGAGTGCTCTGATTCCCTGACAGGCTCAACAACACAGACATTTCTTTAGTTTTTGAAAATAAACTGTCCCAGCTTCCTTTAAGGAAAAATTACAGTTACTAATTTGGGGTGGGGGGAGAAGGAACATATTTTACATGTATTACTGTCTGATAAACACCAGAAGGGAATTTCACCCCTACAGTTCTGAGTTCTATTACCTGTGCTTTCTGAAAGCAAAAGCAAACATAGGCTAAGTATCCCTAACTAAAATGCTTGAAAGCATATGTTTCAGATTTCTGATTGTTTCAAATTTTGGAATATTTTCATAAGCATAATGAAAATATTCTTTTAATGGCTTCTTCTAAGGCTTCTTCTAACTCTTCTAACTCTGAAACTATATGAAGAGAAGAGAAGCCTTATGATATCTTGGAGATGGGACCCAAATCTTAATACAAAATTCACTTGTGTTAAATGTATACACTTTGTACATTTAGCCTGAAGGTAATTTCATGCAATATTTTTAATAATTGTGTGCATGAAATAAGTTTATGTTAAGTACTTATGTGTGGAATTTTCCACATGTAGGGTCAGATTGGCACTCAAAAAGTTTTGGATTTTAGAATATTTCGCATTTTAGATTTTCAGACTAGAGTTGCTCAATCTGCACTAAAAAAAAAAAAAAAAAAAAGGAGGGGATTTCAGTCCAGGGTTTAAAACCAGGCAAAAATGAAGGAAATGACTCAACCCTCCCTCTAAATTCCCTTTCCCCAAGGGAAAGTCCCTCAGTTTGTTTATTGTTCCCAGTTGCGGTATTTACTCACCTCACACCCATTCCCGTAAGGGCATTGGCTCATGTGGACCATAGTCAGGGTGGTGCTGAGCCTTCACACATTAGAAAGAAAAAGAAACTCACCTGTGGAGTACCCACTCTGTGAGAGGAATTCTTCTAGTCCCCTTGCATATACAACGTTATTCAAACTTTACATCCAACTATGGCTCTCTACCCATTTTACAGATAAGAAAGTTACAGCTCATGAGGGGTTAAGTAATTTGCCCAATAATACATCATTAATTAATGAAGAAGCTATATCTTGAACTTGAATTTTTTGGATTTTAAAGCCAATAATTTTTAATACTGTCATATTTCTATTCTTCCCTGACTCATCGTTCAAAATACTTTAAATTGTAGAGACTATGTTAGCATTGGTTTTTCATGATGACTTCTTATGCAAACAAATTTCAAATGTCGCATTAATGATTTCACACTACTGCTATTGTCTGGAATAATTCACTGCACCTGGAAGACTCTCAGCAAACATTTGTGCCCTTGATTTTGATATAACTTAAAACCATATGGTTTCAGAGTTAGATGAAGCCTTAGAATCCTTTTGTCCCATCTCCTCATTTTACAGACTGGGAAACTGAGGCCCAGAGAGGCTGTAACTTCACTATAGAAACACAATAAGGGAATTGGAAGAATTATTAGTAAAATGTAAGAAACATCATCACAGAAAAAAAATCACCACTGTGACAGAGAAGTCCGGTCTTCTTAGATGCATTTTTATCTTGACTCTGCCTCACATTACTTATCTTTCTCTTCTTTCTTTTCAGTCTAAGGTTAGATCTGTTTTGCGTCCCAGTCAATTTGGGGGACAGCCATGTACTGAGCCCTTGGTGACCTCTCAACCATGCATTCCATCTAAGCTCTGTAAAATTGAAGAGGCTAACTGCAAGAATAAATTCCGCTGTGACAGTGGTAATGTATTTTTATAAAATGTTTGGTTTTCACTAAAAATAACTTGACAAAGTCAAAGTTATTCCAATTCACTACCAGGAAAATCCATGAGAGAGAAGTCTCACTACATTTTAAGCATTGGCAAAGGAGAGTATTATGCTGCCAATTACCAAGATACTCAAGTGTGAAAAATATAGCTTTTAAGTTATATCATCTTGACCATTCATCTGATTCATTTACTCATGAAGTAGTGGTGTCCATTTCTTTGTGCTGTTATAAAACAGAAAAGGGAGAAAGGAGAAGAAGGAAAAAGAGTAGTTAGATTTTTCTCTTCTTCGAGATGGGAGTCTTGCTATGTGCCCAGACTGGATTCAAACTCCTGGTCTCAGGTGATTCTCCTGCCTCAGCTTCCTGAGTAGATGGAATTGCAGATCCGTACCATGATGCCCAGCCAAATAGGAAGATATTTCTTTAAACAGTCTATTAATATGCACAAATATATAGTGAGAATAATTGAAAAGGCTAGGCGTGGTGGCTCATGCCTGTAATCCTAGCACTTTGGGAAGCCGAGGGAGGAGGATTGCTTGAGACTAAGAGTTGGAACTCAGCCTGCGTGTGTACCTACAGAGACATCATCTCTACAAAAAATAAAAAAATTAGTCAGCCACAGTGTCATGCACCTGTAGTCCCAGCTACTCAGGAGCCTAGGGAGGAAGATTGCCTGAGTCCAGGAGGTTGAGGTTCAGGGACCCATGATTGTACCACTGCGCACCAGCCTGGGCAGTAGAGTGAGACCCTAACTCAAATAATAACAGTAATATAATTGAAAAGAAGTGACAGATTTTTAAATACTTTTAATATAATTTATTAAGACAAGAATATTAAAAACATTATGTCAGGAGGATGAATAGAGATAACTTAGCAAATTTTCTTAACTGGCTCCATAGTTAATTTCAAAAGATTAGATCAAAAAATGATTTAAATGATGGTAACATCTCCTTCAAGTCCAATATTCACTGAGATGCATAAAATCTGGTCATTAAGTTTCATTAGATTATAATCAAATCTTGAGTATATTACTTAATCATATGTTTTATTTTGTTAATTAATAGCTCTTCAACACTCACCATTTTGAGCAGTCTAGATCATGTTTTTGCAAGCTTTTCAGTAAAGATCCAAAGGGCAAATATTTTAGCTTTTGTAGACCATGCAGTCTATCTTGCAACCACTCAACTCTAGCAAAGCTGCCCTTGACAATACATACATAGCATAGCCGTGTCAAAACAACATAGGAGGCAGGTTAGTTTTAGCCTGTGGACTCCGGTTCACTGACCTCCTCTAAAAATAGTCAACTTGAAATTACAACAAGTTTAAATTTCAGATTAATAAAATTCATATTATTTCTATGTAATCTGAGATATACTGAAAAGTAAAATCTTTATATCTATAGAATCTATAGATAGTAGATTTCAAATTTTGTCGAAAATTGACCCCAGACCTTGAAACTAATGTTTTCCCCATCCTCCTTGCTTCTTTGCCTTCAATTTTGTCAACGTTTTCTGAACATCAGATAAAATGCTGATGTCAGGGTTTTTCCTCTATTCTCTCCCTAAACCCAAACCTGGGTATGGGGGTGAGATGTTGATAAAAGATATGCACTGTGCCTACCTAAATAAGGTCATATCCGAAAAATGAAAGAATATGAGCAAAGCCTTAATGACTAAGGGTAATATAGACCAGAGCATTATATCCAGAACATTAAATTGAGATTTCAAACTAAAGTAAAACTATTTGAAGCTTGAAAGATGGTTTTTACAACAAATAACCAGAAAAGATTCCTTTGTTTAGTAGATGATGAACATATGAACAATTACAAAAGAGCTGTGTTTAGGACAAAAATACTTACAAGTTTGAGAAGGCCTGAAATGCATCCATAGGTCATCAATTTATAATAAATGATTTTAGAAAAGTTAGCAGTATAAGCACAGCTAACCTCCAGTTCATCAGCAGTTTACTCATAGCCATTGATTTTTTTTAAATGAATTATTAAAATGTGTCTGTAATGGTTGGTAAGAAGCTGTTACCCTGAGCTCCCTGAGTAACCCCTGCCCGGCCTTCCAAAACCTGGATTCCCTACATCTTTTCACAATGGTCACTGATTGGTAAATCCCTGGCACAGATGTGGTTGGCATCCATTCTTATTGGGTGATGCCATGGCCTTGTGGTTGTCAAATATTTCACCAAGGATGATATACTATTGTACTCTCCTAAAAATATCTACGAATGCCACTCTCAATGGGAGAGACTGCATGCATGATTATTTATTTTACTCAAGACGATGTCTGGCCCTCGCTTAACAAAGATTTATCTGTCCTAAACAGATCTACCTTCTTCCCTTTCTTCTCTTTGACTGCTGTTCAGAGTCTTCAAAACATACCCAAGACTAAATAGATTATTTTAATGTATACATAAATTTTTGGGAATTACCTGTGAGGCTAATTCTCATGCACTGTGCCAACTCCTCATTCATTCATTAATTTTAAGTATAGAGGACCAGAGAATTTACAGCTGGTTATACAAATAATACAACATTGCAGTGACACAAATCACTTCAAGTAGCTAGAAAAACATGTGCAATTTCTAAGTAATTGCAGAGCTCTAAGCATAATTGTATATATGTGTATACTGGCCAAAGCATGCTGACTCCTACAAACCCTGCTATATTCAAATTGCCCTTTATATGTCCCAATTTTTCCTTGGTATAGAATGTATGTATGGCTTATACTATCTCTCCCCTTGTGCTTCATATTCCACTGATTTTTTTGCACCATTTCAGCCATGTCCCATCAGGCCTATATCACTCACTCCTGTCACCTATCCTAAGCATCACCCAAGAAGTATCCTCTTCCTTGCCCCCGTCTTGCTAATAGGCCCTCTCTGATATCCCTACAAGTACCAAATGGATAGAATTTCTCATATTCTCACATATCTGGTATCCTACTCACAAAGCTAGGCTAATGAGAACTGTACCTTACATGTGTATCTCTATCTCTGTCTAATAAAGTATGATTTTTTAGTGTAATCATATCAAAAATGGACTTTTTGCTTAAATTTCTAAGTGCTAGGTTCAAAACTTTTTAAAATGTGGTAAATTCAGGTTCTTTTCCTTTTTTAAAAGAAATCTTCTCTATTTCAAATGAAAACACCCTAGAACATTCTGTTCTGCCCTGAAAACAAAGAAACAAAAACTAGAGATGCACTGCTTAAAAATAGAGCATCTTTCTGGTTATATCTTTGGAGTAACAGAAATTCAATTCCATCTATATTTTCAGTACTCACAGCTACTTGATTATAGTATTCACAGCTATAATTCTTTATAATAGTGATCCAGATACAAGTGCAAGATCATGAATAATCAAAAGAAGACAACTATTTTCATTACACTCTACTTTCTAAGTGAAAATTATTAACCCAAAGAGTTGAAACTATGTGCTTTCTGAGGAAACTTCAATTAATAAAAAAAATTTTAATTCAACAAAATACCCAATTTCCCCCAAAATTTCAGTTAGTCAAAAATAATCATGCCTAGTTGTAGTGAGATGATGATCACAACTTAAGTCCACCAGATAATTCTGAGTAAAACATTTCATCATTGTCAGTTAAACCTGTACATAATGGTACAGATGCCAGCATCGCAGAAAACAATCAAGAAAATAAGGGACAAGAAAGAAGATATCTGTTATTTCACAAAAGGTATTTCAGTTTCCATAATATATAGTTACACACTGACTCCAAGGATCTTTATGAAATTCAGTAACTCAAAAGGGGAAGAGAATTGTTTCAGTGTGTGAAGCGTATACCATTTTCTAAATTCACTCACTTAATTTGCTACCTATTACTGTAATACCTAGGCACTTTACTTTTCCAAAAAATAATTAGATACTAAATTATATGTAGTAAAACAATTATATACAGTAATTATAGTTGTAAAATATATAGTGAATATATTTAATAAAATATATGATCATGTGTAGTAAAATAATTATATATAGTAAAATACACAGATTCTAAGTATGAACTTCGATTTCCACAATTATACAATGATGCAAACAACCTCCAATCAAGATATAGAAAATTCCTATAAAACCAAAACTCCCTCTCTTTCTTTCTTCTAGTTAATTCTACTTTCTTGTTCTTGAACATTATATAAAGGAATCATGTGGTATGACTTTTATGTGTCTCACTTTTTTTACTTGACATAAAATTTTAAGATTCAGTCATGTTATTGTATGTGTAGGGGTGTGTGTGTTTAAAATTACAGTTTTTAAAATAAAGGCAATGACCTTGAGTCTTCTATCCTGGATGAAAACAAAATTCTAAACCTACTGTTAATTTTCTTCTACTGAACATGATCACTACAGCAAGATCACTATAATGGGAATAGGATTCTAGAATCACTTCTCTTTTTTAAAACAATCAGCTCAATGGTAACAAAATAATTATATGATTCTTCTTGTAATCTGAAAAGACGAAGATATCAATTTATTACTCCATTTTCATATGTTTTAAGCTTTTATCAAAAATAATAAAAATCTGTCCTCAAATATTCCTTGAAATTTTAATCAGTTGTGTTTCAAATGAATAAGTACTTTTTAAAATAATTTGTTGCAATGTTGCATTTGCTTTTTTTGACTAGGTCGCTGCATGGCCAGCAAGTTAGAATGCAATGGAGAAAATGACTGTGGAGACAATTCAGATGAAAGAGATTGTGGGAGGACAAAGGCCGTATGTCCACGGAAGTACAATCCCATTCCTAGCGTACAGTTGATGGGCACTGGGTATGTAGCATCTTTTTGTCATTTTGGGGAGAAAGGGTATCTCTGAACTAATGAGTGAAAAGCATCAACAAAGCAAGAAGCATCATTATCCATCTTTCTCATTAACTTATTACTCCTACCAGCCCTGTCTCGGATACTTTACTACCATGTTCAGGCAGTTTGTGGCTATGGCTTTCACTCCTGAGGAATAAAGGTTAGCATTTTCACATTTAGGTTGTGCCAGGCAATGCTATGGGCTCTTCATAAACATTGCTTGTTTTATTTCTTACACATCCCTCAGAAAGCTCAGGAATGAATCAAGACAGGATGATGAAAAACCCACCAAGCCAGGAGGTGACAGGGCAAATTCCTGGAGCTAGGTCTTGAAGAGGACACTCAGAAATAAAAGGAGCAATATGAGAAAACAGGTGTCAGAAAGATATGCCTATGGGCGTCTTGAAAGTTAAAAAAATAGAGAAACAAAACCAGTATAAGAAGCAAGTCCAGAGTCAATAATGAAAGACAAAGCCAGCAGAAAAGGAGTTAACCAAATATGGAAAAGAAGAGAACCAAAAAAAGAGTGTGAAAAAATAAGAGAGTAAGTGGTGAAGTGAATATGGCTAGGGCATCCTCTCCCACAGACCATGTGATATATGGATAGGTCACTATAGTTTAAAGGCAGAAGGTCAGACCTACATTATCATTTGATCTCAACTTACAAACAACTGTGAAACTGAGCCCCAGAAAGTTCAAATAACCTACCCAAGTCTACTAATTGGTAAATTCTGGAACCAGGATTCAAATTCAGACTTCAAAACCCAGGTTACTTCTATTATTTCATGCTGATTCAGGACTGCATTTATTTTAGAGGTGGGGACATCCCGGAAGAATCTCAGGAGACAAGGCATCATATCTTTGAATAGTGCTCAGAAATTCTAATGTTTCTCCTTCAGGAATATCTGATCATGAGGACATTGGGAGTTTAGCAAAGGGTTCTAAATTCATCAGACTGAGCTAATTTCTCAAAATACTTTAGGAAATATAAGAGAAAGCAATGAAGATAGAAGAATCAAACCTTAATTTGAAGCATTAAAAAAATCAGTTAGAATAATTTCCTGTGCCCTTCCATTCCTGTAACAAAGAATTCCCTCTTCAATTTTTGGCCAAAGGGTAGATAGTTTGCTGTCAGTTTCTATTCCTTCACATTGGACTTTTTAAAATTTAAGTTTTCACTTATGTGGCCAGGGTTGCATAACATGAAACCTTCAGGCACCAAAGACAAACACCCACAACTGTAAATATAACCTCGTTTGATTTAGAATAAAACCCAGAAAACATTGAACCAAACTTAATGACACCAGTAAAATGGAAGAGCTATTCATCTGGAAATAAGAGAAGCTGTGTTCTAAACCTAGTTCTGTGTTAACTCACCACATCACAACCAAGGAATATAACACTGCTGAGCCTCTGTTTCCTCATCTGTATGTTGTAGAACCACAAACTGATTTCAGGTGCTGTCTTAAGAGTTCCTAATTACAGTGAGAGTGCTTCAACATCATGTTCTCATCAATGTGCAGAAATGGTTTCCTTGTCTTCCTTTCCCTGGAAGAAAATATCAGCCAAAACTCCTACTGAGAATCACACTTTCTAATGTTCTGATTGATGAAGGATGACATTACAAAATTACCTCTTGTTCAGCTGGTCTAGACTCTTGAGCTACAGATGGGGAGGACCACATGCTATGTGTACTTTGGCAGAAGAATCATGTGGCCCTCTGCCAACCAGAGCTATTGTCCCAAGGATTCTCAGAAATGAGCAAAGCCTGCTGGCTTGAGACAACCAGTCCTCTCTTTGCCTCCCCAGGGACTGAGAATTTTGAGAGCTGCTTACCGTAATCTCTTTCTAATCTGCTGTTGGAATGTCTGCCTCTCTTCTATACCTTGCTCCCCAACACATTTCTACCATTAAAAAATAGTTTCCTGGGCAGATATGCCTCTTTTTAATCGATAGCTCTGAAAAAAAAATTTAATAGGACATACCAAAATTCCTACATTGCCAACATCAGTCACTGACTCCTAAATCTGAAGCAAAGATCAGGCAATACTAGTATGCTGTTTGTTTATTCTCAGGTTTAGGCAAAGGGTATGTATATATGGGGAAGATGCAAAAAAACTGAATTTAGTTATAAAAAATTGTGCATTTAGTCCTACATGCTTAAACTTCAGTCACCTTCAAAGTACTCTCTGATGCAATACACCTGATGTTGGGTGGAGTACATTACAAAACTTGTAGATTCTTTGAGTCAACCCTAAAATGCATTTTAGAGTGACCAGCAATGTTTTAAAACACAGTTTGTTAGAGAAAGAAGAAAAGAAAAAAGAAAGATTCATGACAGAAAAGCCTGCCAAGGGTGAATTTCTTGAAAAAGATAAAGAACCACCTTTCACTTTTTATGAAAGACCTGATATAGTGACTGGTATGCTAATTAGTGGAGTGGAGGGGATATTTGCTCCCACCTCACCACCTCTGATGGGTGGAAGGGGTGATCTTTTCTGGGAAGATTTGCCAGACTTCTCAATATACAAGTTTATGAGCTAAAAGGTGGTTTAACTATCATTTCTATGATTTTTTAATTCTTGATTAGAAAACTTGACAGAGTTTTCCTTTGGCGAGCTGAGGGGTTGCGGTGGACTAGATGGAAGTCCACATTGAATTCACATTCCAGTCCACAGGGCTGGTCAGTCTGCTGAGAGAATGTCTGGGTGCTTTCTAAAACCTGCCTGTAAGAAATGTGCTAACTGTGCAAGCTACCTTGCCTCACACCTATTGATTTGCTTTTTTCACTGCTCAGAACAGTTTTTAAACTCATCAATTTTGATGTCTTTTAGGGTTTTTGCCTTTTGTTTGTTTGTTTGTTTCACTTCTTCCACACTGGCAAAAACTTTCCCTATAAGGATTACCTCCAGGGGAAGAACAACAAGCTGGGGTGAGATCCAGTGAATAGGGAGGGTGGAGCATGGAGGGCATGACATTTTTTTGGCCCCAAACTGCAGAATACTCAACACATTTTGGGCAGGTTGTTGTCATGGTGGGAGAACGTCATCTGTTTGCCACAACTTGGAACGTTTCTTCCACAAATCATGAAGCAACCTTCTCAAAACTTCCAGATAAAAATTTTGGTTGACCATTTGATCCAGAAGAATAAATTGTGAGTGCACTACAAGAAACCCTCCAAAAGATAATTCTGGGTTTTTTAGAGGTTCTCTTTCATACTGTACACATAAATAATAATTTTTTTATATATTTTAGTTAAATTCAAAAAATTGAAAAGTATGACTTATAAACCAGATTAGATAAAAGCACTTTAGAAACCCAAAGTATTAAAGGTAACATTGTATTTGAAACGCCAAAATATTCAATGTAAACATCTCAGAGGGAAAGGGAAAGAATAGAGCTGAAATAGTTGGTTTAGTCCCTAAAAGATTCCTCAGGCATGCCCTGATAAAAGCACTTCTATAAAAGCCTATCATTAGATTCTTCACAAATAGCTGTCATCTTCCTACATTCCTCATGACATGAAAGCCATTTTTCTCAAGTCGTTCTTTTTTGTGACAGAGAAGTACATTGATAAGGCAACATAAAGTCAAGAGTTCCTTTTTCTTCATCGATTCCTCTTAACATAGAAAATGCAAACAAGTGAGCCCTAAATGCCTGCATTTGCCCTGTTAACTTAAGTAGTTTGAAAACTTCTTTCCAGACCAACTCCTCATATTTCCCTCCTCAAATATTCATTGACACAAATTCAAATAAGGATAAGAACAACTTTAAGTTATAAAGGAATATAATCTGCATTTTAGAGAACCCACAGGAATCACTTCTTTTAAAAAAAATCTCTATTGAGCTATAATTTGCATGCCAGACAATTCACTCACTGAAAGTGTCTAATTTAATTATTTTCAATATGTTTATAGACTTGTATAGCTATCACCACAATATAATGTTATAAAATTTTTAACATTCCCAAAATAAAACCTTTGCACATGTCAGATGTCAAGCTCCATTTCTTTTCCCACTATACCCCACTCCTACCCCTACCCACCAAATTCATTTTCTGTCCATATAAAATTTTTTTGCTGTAGACATTTCATATAAATGGAATCATACAATATATAGACTTTTGTGCTTGCCTTCTTGCATTTAGCATAATATTTTTAAGAATCAACTATATATTTACATCTACTATCACAGAAATACAAAGAATCATTAGGGACTATTATGAGTAAAAATATGTCAACAAATTGAAAAACCTAGAAGAAATGGATAAATTCCTGGATGTCTACAACCTACCAAGATTGAACCTAGAAATAGAAAGCCTGAGCAGATCAATTAAGAGTAAAGAGATTGAATCAGTAGTAAAAAAAAAAAAAAAAAAAACCAACTTTCAACAAAGAAAAGCAAAGAAAAGCTCAGAATTGGATGACTTCATTGCTTAATTCTACCAAGCTTTTTAAAAAACGAATACCCCAATTATTCTCAAGCTATTCTGAAAACTTGAAAGGAAAATAATTTTTCCAAACTCACTCTACAAGACCACCATAAATGAAATCAGATAAGAATGCAACAATAATAAAAACTACAGGCCAATATTTCCAATGAACATAGAGCAAAAATCCTCAACAAAATACTAGCAAACCAAATTCAACAGCAAATCACAAATATCATACACCAAGATGAAATAGGATTTATCCCAGGGATGCAAGAATATTTCAACATACGCAAATCAGTAAGTGTTATGCATTGCATCAGCAGTCTAAAGGACAAAACAAAAAAAAATTCATCTCAATAGAAGTCCAAAAAGCGTTTGATAAAATTTAACATCACTTCATGACAAAAATTCTCAACATAGGCATGGAAGGAACATATTTTAAAGCAAGAAAAGCCATATTGACAAACCCTCAACTAACATCATACTGGGTGGGGAAAAACTGAAAACTGCTTTTCTCTAAGAACTGGAGTGAGAC